AAGCAAAATAATAATAAAAAGTATTTAAAACCTTATCATTGTATGCATTGTCTATTTATAAATTTAATATTTTGATGAATAATAAATATCATGTATGAATCATCCCTGCCTATGTGCAAGCCCGGATTAATGGGGGGGGGGGGTCCAAGGGGGCCATGGCCCCCGGGCTTCGATAGTTAGAATTTATTAAGGGGCCTCAGATTTGTCCATTACTTTTTCCATTATAGGCTATAACACTGCATTAATCACCTAAAAAAAATCGATGATTATTTAGCGAAGAAAAAAGCTTGTAAATTATAATTTATAAATAAAGTGATACATTATTCATTATTTATTGCTATGTACCTAATGGCTAATACCCATATATATATTTATTATAATATGCACCTAATATTAAATAATATAATTATTTTTTTTTTCGTACAGAGGCCTTATTTAAAATTTTGGCCCCTGGGCCTCAAAATGTCTTAATCCGGGCATGCCCATGTGTTTAATAGCTAATTATTATAATATATATTTTATTTTTATTATTGAAACCAATTTTAACCGAGATCCCCCTACTCTTGTATATATGTTTTGGATCTGATCCAGATCATAAAGTATTTGTAAGGAATAATAAATCAAGTTTAATTCGAAAAACGTACATAATCCCTATTATACTACCTACATGCTATAATTGTAAAACGTAGCACTGCTATCGAACGCCGCGCTCCTGGTGGCAGAATAACCGTGCGACTTTTGTCAGGCCACTTTATAAACGAGCGGCTATAGGAGTTTGGTCTCCTTATCTCTAATCTTCATGGATTATATATTTTAATTTTTTTTTTTCTATTACGGAATACAATTTTTCAATTTACTTTTTAAAACCCGATTCTCCTGGAATAGAATATTATAATTTATAATACATAGGAATCCACGAAATTATTGAAATTTTTCAACGAAATATATTATAATATGGAACAGGCGTGGATCAATAAAAATAAGTTTTTATTATGTGTAATATGAATAAAATATATTGGATACAATTTTTATATATAGGTACCTGGAGGCAAAGGGCCCGACATACTTGTGGTTGATTTTACAGTTTTACGTATTATCATTGATTAAAATTAGTATTCATAATCAATTGTATTATGTTAAAATGTAGGCAGCTTAGTCGTAAGTATAAAACAATTTTGTGCCCCCCCCCCCTCACATGAAACATTTCTGTAGCCCTCTCCCCTGATATAGAATATATCAATATAAATTTGTTTAATGTAAAAATTATTTTAACATTATCTACAATGTTATTTAAATTTTGTATTCCTTATATTATACGATATAAAATTAAAAATACCATCAGGAATACTGTACAGTCATGGGACAATAGTAGGACCACTAGAGCTATTGGTACACGATCGTCGTCGTTGACGATAAACGCAGTTGGAAAGCCTTAATACATTATTAATTTATTATATTTATTATCTAAGCCCTCTAGACCAGTGTTTCCAAACTGGTGTTCCACGAGCCGGCGCCAAGGGTTCCATGAGAAATTTGGGAAATATAGAACAATTAAAAAAAAGGTGGGCAAGTGGGTGTCGCTCTGCTGTACAGTAGGTTACAAGTGGGTCACTGTATAATGGATGATATTAAATTTGAATTCAACGATATAATAACATTGTATAAGAAAAACGATTCTGAGCGGAGACGGTATGTCAGTCTAGGTATAAATGGATATTTTTCGTTTGATAAAGGTAGATAACCATATAAGGAATCTTGTATTACATTTTAAAATCTTAGATTTAAAAAGAAAAATTTTTACGAATTCTTAACTCAAAATAATTTGCTAATTTTCGTGATTTTTCCATATTCTGTCATGATTTGAAATTTAAATGCTTATAAAAAAAACTTTGACTAAGGATTTTTAATATTTTTCAAATGCCTTTGAAACAATATACTAGGAGCCTTCTATTAAATTTTCAAGTTTTTTTAACCAACAAATATAATTTTATTGATATTTCTAGAAAAAAAACTAAAAAAAAAATGAAAAATGAAAATGTCCCTAAACAGTTCAAAATAAATCAAAATATTTTGAAAATGTTATCGTGTATAGAAAATGCAAATATAAACAACCAGTGAAAATTTCATGTATCTACGATCATTCGTTTTAAAGTTACACCAAAAACCATATCCAATTTTCTGAAAAATCGATTTTGCGTAAAAATTCCCGTTTTTCCTTAATTTTTCTTTTGTTTTTCCCGGCGCTTTTGAAAACTACTGGGAAATTTAAATTTTGACCTCCTCAATGCACCAACGATATTCACTTTCCAATCGAACAAGATACTGAAGTCGAAAATCGAAGCATTATTTCGACTACTTATCGTGTACACAGACACAAAAAAAAAAAATAAAAAAAAAATATAAAAACACACATCATGGTAAAATCAATACATCGTTCCACTCAGAATCTAAAAAGTTATGAAGAAAACTATGCAAAGATTCCAATCTTCTCATTGAATCTATGTTAATCTAATGTTAGGCAAATAATGCATTTTAAGCTTTCGTATGTACATATTTTAAAATATTGTAATAGTTATAGACAAAATAAAATGTTAAAATCGTCTTTACTTAGTTTTCCTTTTTATATTAATGACAACCCTCACATTTAAGTGTAAAAAACATTTGTATGCATTACTATTATAGAAAAAATATGGGGATTCCACAAAACGTTCAAATTCCTACAAAGGTTCTACGAGTAAAAGAAATTGGGAAATGCTGCTCTAGAGACAAGAAAGAAAATCTTTAGTTGCACTGTATGTATTAAATCTAGCATTTGTAACTGGCTGTTTAAAGAATTACCTACATTAGAATTAAATATTTGTTATCTTTATTTTTAGTTTTCATTTGTATCACAGTCCTTAGTATCCTTAGTCCCTATATATTTCAAGTTTTTTTGTATATATTATTCCTTCTAAATTTTGCAACACAAAACATTATATATTATGAATTAATAACCCTAAATACTTTAAATTTTCATCAAATATTTGTATATCTATTTTCCATACATGATGAAACTTTAAAAATGTTTTGGCTCTTTTGTTTAGCTATTTATAGCCATGTAAAAGTTTTTTAAATGTAAATATTGTATTTTTATTGCTTCTCATACAAAATAAACCAATCAATATGATTAGAGACAGTAGTATAAGCAAGTGTTTAACAAATCATCCAAAAAAAAATTTAAATAGATGAAAATATGAAATTAAAATTGGTAATTTAATTATAGATATATGTAGATACTTATAATATACCCTACTTTATATAATTTGGAAAATATAACTGCAAATAAAATATATTATATTGTAAACCATGAAATATAATATTGTTATGATGCAATAGTGAATTATATATTTATATACTACATTACACATATATCTACACTAAAATCTGTATACATTATATTATTACAACTTACAACTTACACTAGAGGTAATATCTGGTATAGGCATTTTAAATAAAAGACTAATAATTATAGAATAAAGTATATATTATTTTAAAAGTAGTTAGGTACCAACCATTTATTTGGTTGTGTACAAAAATAAGTTTATAGTATAATGTTATAGTATATGCTCCTAAAATCGTTAATTTTAAAACATTTTTATACATGGATCACACAATAATATTTATAGAGTATATTAGGTTATAATAAAATCTTGATTAGGATCACGATTATTACCTGCGTATTATAAATGTTGGGCACTCTGATATTCATTCGATTTATTACCAAAAAAATAATGAAAATCAATCCATTTTCTATATATTACAATTTAAAGTTATATAATATAACATAACACAATAACTACGATAAGGCGTAAAATAGTTATTCCCACTTGGACGTGGTCACGTGTAATAAAATATGAACGGTTATTATATAACATATTAACATTTACCGATATATGGATATGGGTATATAATATAATATCTACAACTACCATTGGTCACAATCAATGCTACTAGGTACATACCCCACACACGCATGTATTGTCTCCATATTACAAAAGTACAATATGACAAATTGTATGTTAATTGTTAACAATAACACATTTTACTCTCTTATTTTTAAAATTAAAAGTTAATTGACCCATGAAACATTTTAAAACTAAAATCTAAGGTACCTATCTCGGAGGCTTTAGTATAGATATTTTTATTAAGAAGTAAGTTATGATGTACTATGTAACAATCTGTATATTTTAAAACTATCATAACTTACTTAAAAGTAGTAATCTTAACTTTAAAATGTACCATGAGCACTCTTGCTATTTACTCATTCACTCTAATTTTAAAATGACAGAGTAAAATGTATTATTGTGAAAGTACAATTTGCTGTGTTGTACGTTTGTAAGAGTAAGACGGTGACAAGGACAACACATACGGGTGAGGCGTTCTCTTAATTGGTACATCCCGATATTGTACTTAACAGTTAAATTATGATATACTACAATCAGTGGCGTAGACAGGATTTTGCTTTAGGGGCTGATAACGTGTTATATAGAGGAGACTAAACTATACCAACTATAGGGTTCCTTGCATGAGTTATTGGTACCTATGTTGATGATGAGTATAATAATATGACATTTTAGACTTTTGAAGCGACTCTCGTAAAAATTACATTTTAATACACAATGCCATGATGGTTATGTCTAACGTAATACGTTCAAACAACGCTGAAGGTATATTTTTAAATTTTTCGAAAAACTCTGGGAGGGCCACTGCCCCTTCAGCCACCCCCTGGCTTCGGCACTGACTATATAAGAATACGAAATATGAATACAAATAAAGTAATACAATTATTGTTTAATGTATGTACTACAGGCTAAATGTAAGCATAATACAAATTATATATGTAAAGAGGTTCACCCATATATTACAATACCTACGTAATCTAAATCTACACAATATTATTATATTAGCCTATAAGTAAAATTATATAGGTATAGGTTATATACGGTAATTCACGAATGAAATTAATAATAATAATTATGATAGTAATGATAATATAAAATATAGGTCAGTGTACAGTATGGTATTACAAGGGTAGCGGGTGATCGTCCGAAACCGAAAACGGCCGTCAAGGCAATAGCAGCAATCGCTGCCGTGGCTGAAACAGCAGGCGGACGTCCGGCGCGGGACGCCGTGGACGACGTCTTGCTGACGAACGGTTCCACGTTTGTCTTGTTGTAGTTGGCATAGTACCAGTCGCTCGCCGAACTCGTCTTGAACGGCGTCGACTGGAACGAGTCCGTTGACCTAGTGGGCGGCGGAAGTTGGTAAGCTTGCTGATGGTTGTTGGCGCCACTCTTCGAGTACTTAGCGTCTTCTAAAGCCGCCTGGGGTCTCTGGTGCTGGGGCTGTTGTTGTGGTTGCTGTAATAGCTGTTGCTGTTGCTGCGGCTGGCCCTGTTGGCCGGGTGGGCTCAACGTCACCTTCACGATGGACGGCTTACCGGTGACCACTACGCCACCACCGTCTTTGTGTGACGGCGGCACCTGGCCACCGGTTCCATCTTTTTGCATCGGGATCTGTCCACTGGTTCCATCTTTCTGCACCGGAATCTGTCCACTGGCTCCATCTTTGTGCACCGACACCGGGCCATCGGTTCCGTCTTTGTGCACCGGCAGCTGACCACCGGGTGCCAAGAAACCGGTCAGCGACGATGGCGTGGACACGTTGACCGCTTCGGAGACCGCTGCGGTCTTACCGGGCGCCGTCGTCGACGCTGCTGTGGTGGCCGGATGCGTGACGGTGGCAAATTGGCGCTGTTGTTGGGTCGCCGAGCTCGTCGTCGCGGGTCCCACTGCGAACACACAACTTTACGGGTGTAGGTACATTAAAAACCAATTCTCACGAGGGAACGCCTAACTTAACCTGCTGAGTGCAGGGGGGAGGTGGGTGTAATGAACGGATAATAAAACGATTGTGATGAAATTAAAAAATCGTCTCTAGTGTATTACTTTAAAAAATATATACATGCTATATTCACTACCTATGGGCAAGTCACACATTTTAAATATATATTGATGTGTTAAGGTCTCCTGTCAAACGATAGGTGTAGTTGAAAACAACTCAATAAAGCAAATATTGTATTTAACTTCACTTAGATATACTTGGGTGAGTTATTTGGGAGGGTAGTTTAGTTTCGACACGATGGTTGCTAAATTTAATTAGGTAATGGTACATATTAATTTATATCATAAACGAAAATAATTTTGATAAGATCGTAAATAAATAATATATACTAGATTAATGGTGAGCGCTGGATAATGAAACTATTTTATACCGTATATAATTGTAATATAACTCGACATACCATACGTCTATATGTCTATATGTCGTTCTAAAATCTGGTATTACATAATAATATAAATATATAAGTATTTTAAATTGAGAAATAAGTCTGAAATGTTGTTTATATTTTTAATTAAATAAATATCGTAATTATTCATTAAGAGAATACATTTCTCATTAATCCTATCTTTAAATACTTATAAATTATAACTCTCATTATAATTTTTGAATGAATTTATTAACTTTCGGTATATATATAAGAGAACTGAAAAAGTTTAAACATTTACTATAAGATATTTTAATTTTATATCGTATTGTTTAGTTAAGTATATCCTATACAGTGAATAAAAATATAATTAATTTATGTATTTAGATTTGTATTTGTAAATTTGAATTTATACTTTTGTCAAACAATTACTATAGACATATTTGAAAATTACTGATATTTTTTACCTGATATAACTGACCAGGAATTTCTCAATAGTTCAGTTTCTTACAATGATCAATTTTTCGTTTAGCTAGTAACATAATATTATACCTACATATTATATAAATAATTATATACAGATTATATAACCTGTATACAATTGTTATAGGTAGGTACATACGAGTATAATAAGATACCTATTTTTATTTGGAATTTATATAAAATTCCTTGGTTTGATATGAGATGACTAACCTCCTCCCCCATCATGAGCATACCACAGACATTATATCACAATTAATATGCCATTAAAACTATATTAGAACTTGGACGACATGTTGTTACCTGTTGACAGTTGAACAAGTGAAATTTCGGATTGGTTAGCCGAATCATCGCTTTGTAAGGTGGTCGCTGACGCCAACGTTTGTTGCTGGTTGTTGGTTATACTTGGCTTAAAGGTTGGTCTAATGATCGAATTTATAGTGGCTGACTCGAATAAGGAATCACGAGTCGTGATGTTTACAAACTTAGAAAAACTTAAGTCGCTGCTGGAAAATCGATCATAACGGTATGGTGATTCTGTGGTGCTGCTAAGTTGATACCGTGGAGGACTGCCAGAACCTATAATTTTATTGGACGCACTAGTATTTCTGTAAATATTTTCTACGTCATCTTCGTTCTCCACGTCTTCTCCGAAGAAATTATTATCAGGAGTAGTCATCATTGGTCGGAAACCACTAGTGCCCGGTAATATTGGTGTAAGACTATCTTGGTCTACTGTTGACGTCCTTTTTGGCAATGAATTTCGTCTGCCGTCCTTGAGTCTTTTACCGGTGCCTTTTGCTTGGCCCCATATATTGTTCAGACTCAGTGGTGGTATTGGTACGCCGAAAAATGTATACGCAGTACCACCGGCATTGCTCTGCACCGAGTGGTCATCAGTATAAGAAGAAGAGCTATTAGGCCGAGAACTGGCATACAATGTTGGTGTATCACCGGGTACGTAGTGTGATAAAATGGCAGGAGATATTGTCGACAGTGTTTTCTCAGTTGAATAACCTCTTTGGAGTTCAGTTTTGTCATTTAGATCGACAACGTCATCGTAAAAATAATCAGTTTCTTCTGGCAGTGGCTTATTTTTATCTGATTCTTCGCTGTTTGTCCACGTTGTTACCTTATTTGATGTCACTGTATTTGCTGAAATAATATTTAAATATCAGTTATAACCCATGTTTTTTAAGTTTGTAATATATAGTGGGGTTTATAAGCTACTCTTACCATTACCAACAGGAACCGATTCGATTTCACAGCCTGGAATGTTTTCCTCTATATTGCTTGATTCTTTTTCGTCGCAGTGCTTCGATGTAAAAGGCATTTCTCTAAGCAAAGTACCGTCGGTACATCTAGGGCCAAAACTGTCAGCTGTTGTTCTTAACCATGATTGCAACCATTTCATGTTGCAAGCACAGTGTACTGGATTACCTATGTAAACATAATATTGAATTATTATTAAATGAAATACACATTTTATTCGTTCAGCTTATAATATTAATATTAAAATATTCATATTATTTTTTTTAAATACTATAGTCGTATTGTTGTTGTATATGATTATAATAAACACTAGACATTGAACAATATATAGAATAATTATATGAATAATACAACTGTAGTAAAATCAATTGTATAATGTGTACAAAAAATAAAATTTACCATCAACATCCAAACGGGATATTGTAGGTTTGATACTGTTAAACGTGGATTCTGAGAGTGAAGTCATCTTATTGTCTCGTAAGCTTAATACTCTTAAACGGCTCATTCCTTCAAATGGGCTTCCAACAATATTACACAATCTGTTGTTATCAAGCTAGAACAATAAAAATGTCTCTATAATATTTTTATAAACATATTGTTTGACAATAACTGTTGTAAGAATATGTTACATAGCTTACTTTTAACATGATTAATGAGTGCATATTTTGTATGCTTCTAGTAGTTATTTGTTTTAACTTGTTATGGCTTAAATCAAGGACTTCCAAGTTTCTTAGATTATTTAAACCGGATTTCTCCATCCCATTCAAATAATTGTGGCTCAAGTTCATCATAATTAAATTTGGTATACCAACAAATGCGTCACTAGCTATCTCATTAAGCTGGTTTTGTTGCAGTTCAACAATTTGTAGCATTGGTAGATTCACCATAGCTGCACTTGGCAAGGAAACTAATTTGTTTCTAGCCATTTTTACAACCATAAGATTTGGCAAGCTTTGTATGCCATACGAAGGTAATGTATTAAGATTATTTCCTTCCATTTCTAAAATAGTCAGATTTGGTAGCTGTTGGAAGGCCCCTTCATTTAAAATGTTCAAGTTGTTTTCTGACAAATACAACTCTTTTAGATATGGCATTGATGAGACCATTCCACTTTTCATTTGTTTAATTTCGTTATTTCTTAAATCTAGAATTTTTAAGTTTGGATTCGCTGCTAATGATGACGGAAACTCTGATAAAGAATTATGAGAAATAGATAGTTCTTCGAGTTCCCTAAATAAATACATAAATTAATATGCATTAATGAAAATAACTAAATAGTTTTATTTTTACTTACTTATTAACAGAAAAATATGATTCATGAATTTCAGTTAGTCTATTATGACTTACATCGAGCTTTTTCAATTTTTCATTATTAGCCAACAAAGAAGGTTCTAATATCTCTAATCTGTTACCTTTCAAATTTAATTCGTTCTAAAAAATAATAAAAATTAGATATTTCATGTGTTTAATTTTACTAATTCAAACTCACAAGAAGAGGCAACTCCTTAAAAGTATTTGGATGTATAGTTAATAATTTATTGTCATTTAATGTCAGAATTTCTAATTGGTTTAATCCACTAAAAGCTCCATTATCCAGTTGTTGCATTGAATTGCCACCCAAATAGAGCCAACGCAATAAATTTAAAGCAGTCAATGAATTCGATGGTACTCTATGAATACCATTATCTAAACAAATAAATTCCATTCATAATCAAACATTTAAAATATAACATATTATTATATTATTTTAGTATCAAAGCCTATGATAAAATAAAACACATACCGATTATAATGAAATTATTTATTAGGTTACCTGAAACATCAAGAAGCTTCAAGGCTGGTAGATGTAAATCCGTTGAACTATCACTTGGCAAGCTCATTATTTTGTTGTGAGATAAGTATAAGTATTCGATTGCTCTTGGCATACCACCTACGAACTGAAAATCATATTTATGTTTTATTTTTAGTAGGTATATGCATGGCAATAAAAATAAAAATAATATTTAATAATACAATATTGTGATTTTATATGAAAATAACATATTTGATAATTTCTTTTATTGAATAACCACTTATAAGTTAAAACACAGATGTAATACACGAAAATTGTCCATATGATTATTTCCTCCTTACACTGTGGTTCTCAGATTATAATTGTGTAATAAAACAATATGTAGGTACCTGCTACATACGACTACGTTTGTGATTAAGAATCAAAACATATTGAGAGAAATAATAGTTTAAACTTTAACTTAACTTAACGTAACGAGATAAGTTTAATCATAATAGTAGGATATTAACTGAATCATTTTAATTTGATCAGCAAAAGAAACTAAATTCATATAATTATTACATTTATATATTCTAAACTAATGTTTAATATATCGAAAATAAAATACATACTTGGTTAAGTTTATTGTGACTTGCATCAAATTCGTACAAATGATATAAATGGGATAGTGTTAGAGAGTTTATAGAATCTATGTTGTTATGAGATATATTGATATGTTCTAAATTTGGAGTATCGATAAAAGTGGTTGGATCCAACGACGAAACAATATTGTGACTGATATCAAATCGCCTTAATGATGGTAATGTAGCTAGCATACGACGCTCTAGTTTGTCAAATTTATTAAAAGATATGTCAAGCCCTTTTAACATGGGTAAATTCCATAAAGGAATTGCTAAGTAATTGGACAGTGAATTATTGGACAATCTCAATTCTCTCAACATTGGCATTGCGGTAAATGTTTCCCTGCCAACTCTTTGCAGTTTATTATGTTCTAAATACAACATTTCTAGTCTTGAATGTCCCTGTACTGATCCGTAAATTATGTCCTGTAACTGATTCCTGCTGACATCCAGAAAACGAAGTTTAGGAAACATGTCTAAAATTAGTCTTATTGTCATCGCGTTGTCTATGGAATTTTCGGATAACCATAATTCTTCTAGATTGTTATCTCGGACGGGTGTAAATGACTCTGGGTGAATGTGACGTACTTGATTTTTACTTATATCGATTGACTTCAGATTAGGCATTCGATGGAACGCTCCCCTGCGTATATCACTTATCTTATTCGCGGAGAGATAAACGTGACGTAATGATGGTATATCTACGAATGTGGCTTCATTAATGAATTCTAATTCATTTCTATCTAGTCTGATTGTTGTCAATGAGGTCAAATCTCTAATTGCTCCTCCAATATTGGACGCATCAGCTAACTTGTTGCCGACTAATGATAGTTCAATAAGTGATGGCAAGCGAGCGAAAGCTCTAGGGTGCATCCACGTGATTCCGCAATCCGTGAAATTTAGTAAAAATAGTCGAGGCAAATCTTGTATAGTGCCTACGTCCAATTTTTGCATTTTTGGAGAACCAGTGATATGCAACTGTTCTAGAAATGGCAACCCCAAGAAATTTCCTGTCCCCATGTTTATCAGTGAAGATGCTTCGATTTGAACATACCTCAATCTAGCTAAGCCAGATATTATTGGTAGTCGTGTCAATGAACCTGCAATTAGCGATAGCGCTTCTAGTCTAGGTAATACCATTAAACTTTCCTCCGGAAAACTTCTAAGTTCTGCTTCTACTATGAACAATTCTAATATGCTTGTTTCTTGATCAGACAACCAGTTGGAGGCAACTTTTTGAATTCCATTTTCTCGTAACATTAATCGTATAATTTTTAAAGTTGAAAAAGCATTGGCAGGCATTGACGAAATGGCATTGTTTTCCAATATTAGTTCGTCAATTGGATCAGTTATGGATGAGGCTAACTGCTTCAACTCATCCAATATGGTCTTCGAATCTCCATGACTACACCTGAAATTTGAAGTATCATGTAAATTATTAATGACCAGTAAAAAAATAAGAAATGCTTTAAAACATAAACATAAATATAAATATAAAACAAATAAACTACAAGTATGTAAATAAACTAATTTAAGTTTTAAATTAATACTTTTTCTCTAATGAATACTGACTATTTATTTATTTATTTCTAAACCTACATTTGTATTAAGACAAAAGAGAGAGGATTTTATAAAAGGATTGTTTACACTGAATGAATCTCTTTGAAGAAATTAAGTTTCCTTTCACTATACTTATTAGCATTTAATTTGAATATAAAATTACACAACAACATAAGAAAATATTTGATTTTATATTGTATAATATATTTCTAAGTGCAAAAAAAAACAATGGTCCATTATATTGCAAATATTTTTAATCTCACAAACTAATTTTAATCTTTCTATCTTAAAACTCTATAGTAAATAACACTGATTAAATAGAATTAATATTTTTAATAAGTGTTTGGACTAAGGATATAAAAAAAACACAAGACCATTTTCTTTTTTATGAAAAATGATTTTAAAATGATAAAAATTGATAAAAATGTATGTTATGGAATTTTTATAAAATGTATATAATTTATAAAATCTTGTATAATACAAACATTTTAAAAGTGGTTAAACTACTCAAAAATACATACCTATAGCTAAAAATCTAAACATTTGGTATAGTAATTGATTGTAATAATATTTTTTTTTAATTTAAAAGGGAGCTGGAGGTAATAATATTAATATTGTACAATTTGACAAGTAGGTATAATGAATCTGAAATTATTTACAGATAATAGTAATTTATACTTGAAGATATATATGAATATGAAATAATCATTTAAATTGGTGCGTAAATAGATAGGTACCTAATTCAAGTTGTTCAACTGAATATAATTGAATCCCATTTATATTATTTATATTTATATAATTCCATTAATATTAGTAAATGATAAAAATATTTTAATCATTATTGTTAGTATACCTATTTATTAATTATAATCGTATGAACTAAAATTAGTAGGTAGGTACCTATTTATTAAATTCCCAACCCATATAAATATAAACTAGAAAGACAAACTCTTGATAAAAGTATAAATTGTAATATAATTTATAAATTATAGGCATAAATAAATTGAAAGTTTCTCGATTTACTTGTGGATATGGTACACGTATTATTTATAACAACATAATCGTGATAAACATATATTCTTACTGGTAAACGATGAAATCTATCTTATTACGTCTACCTATTGTGTAGATAATAAAATAATGGCGTGTCAAAACAATCACAAGGAAAATAAAATACCTAATTATAGGTAGGTACCTACCAATACAGTAATACATAATAAAAACGTTTCTAAAAACCACGACGGCGGCACGTGCAAATAGTAGTACCTATACCTACTCTATAGTGAAGATTAGTTTTGATACAACCACATAATATGGACACGCAAAATAAATTTTTAAAAAAATGGATTGGATTAACCGAGCCTGGTTTCAAATTTTACATAAAGACCACAAATAACGTAAACGTTTTATTAGCATCAATCGTGAACAATTGTATAGTAATGGTTCAAGTGGTAAATGAGATAGGTAACCAATAATCATTGTTTAAACGATTCTGACCAATCAATCTCACTTGGGATGAACTGAAGATCCGTAAAAAAATATCTTCATATAGGTATAATTTATTGCTATCATGGTATCGTTACGGTCAAATTATTCCGAACCATTAATATTTGATCTAGTTGTTGACGGACCACCGAAAAGTTTGCAGTATTGCATGCAATGAGAATATATTTTTGTCTTTGCTCAATAAAGATTTTAAAAAATATGGACTTTATTGTTTAATATAGGCACATGTAACACCGTAACCTATAGATTACCTAGTATAAAGTATAAAATAATAATATTGATACTGACAAATCCGACCACCCAGCCTCTATCTCTAAGAATATTTTATAATTTATTTATATTGTGTACCTATACTAGCAGTAATTTATTTTCTATTAGTTCTACGGTAGCAGGTTGAACTAATTTTAGACAAAAACATCACAAATATTAAATAATAATAATTATTATACTTTATCATATAATATAGTTATATAAGACAATATTAATTATATTGACGTTCCCATAGTAGAACGGTGTGATTGGTGTGAATATGGTGATAAATTATTATTTTTTATGTCAAAAAAGATTACTGTACCTCACTGAGTTAAAAACTCACGTGGAGGTCCATATAATATGGTATAAATAGTTTTAAAAAATAACCATGTCTACCTAGACTTAAAAATTAGTTAAATGCTTAAATACATATTTGGTAAAAATATCAAGTATAATTAGTACATTATTTACGGTTATTCTTTTCAATAACAAAGTAAATTTTATTCAAAACAATATTTGTAATTATTATTTTATTTAAAAATATTCAATTTTTTAAAGTGTTAAATGAATAGGTAAATATCCTGTGTTATGATATAGCCATAGGTACTTAAATTATAAACATTTTCTCTCGTAAGCTGAAATAATGCATTATTCAATATGATAATATAATAGGTATAATAAAATTACGACGTACCTACTATTATAGTTTTATTATTGCTGTCATAAATCGTTATACACCTATACTTATATAGAATTCAGGATGCTTAGGCGCTTAGCACCCTTATCAATTAGCCTTAGCTGCCCTGCGATTTTCGTCTAAGCTAAACTAAATATAAAACGTGCATTTGCATTTTCAAATTATCATCGTGAGTTCATAGTTACCTACCTATCTGAATCAGTTATCTCCTCAGATAACTATATAGGTAGTAACAAGCAGTGTTGGGAAGTAACGTAACGAAAGTAACGAGTTACTTTGCTTGTAACGCGTTACGTAGTTTCATTAAAATAATTTCCAAGTAACGAAAATGTAATGGAAATTACTTTTGAAAAGCTTTACAGTTTCGAATTATGAAGTACCTACCTATAGGTTAGGTTACCTACCTATTGCAAATTTAAAAAAAATATATGTATAATGCTGGTAGGTATTATTATGTTAACCAATCTAATATTATGTATATATATATAAGTTTAACTCGGCACAATTTATGGTTTTCAATGGTTTTGACATTTGAAATGTCTAATTGCACCGTAAATCACGAGAATAGTTAATAAAATATATTATTTAATTTGATTCCTTTAAATAGGATTCCTATGAATATAGCTTGTGTGGAAGACTAAATTGTATATAATCCTAATAACTATACAGGTTTTATAAAGAATTTGCTTGTTCAATTTGCCTGCAGCACTGTCTGCCGACTGCCACCAACACTGGTAACAAGTAACTATATATATAGTACCTACCCATAATAATATTAATAATAATTTGCTAAATGTACCTACTGCTAATAGGTAGTCAGGTAGTGCTTATATAAATATAGGTATGTGCTTAAGCCTTAAATAGTATTTATTATGTGTAACATTTCAATGGTATATAATAATTATGGTATATATAATTATGATTTTATTTGTCAACGATAGCTGGTATTAGATATTTGACTATTAGTATCAAATAGCGTTGGTCAATATGATTAAACCTAAGTAAAAATTTATACTGTATTTGTTAAATCACTGACTAATACAATTCAAGAAATCAAAAACACAGTTTTAAAACCAAAATATACTATTTATCAATGGAAACACGCAATCAGATGGTTTTGCGTAGTAATAATAATTATAACAAAAAAGTGGACAAGTGGGTACTGCTCTGCTGTACAGTAGTTATTAAGCATCATGTCATTGTAATGGATGTGTTATATTTGAATTCAATGATAAATTATTGTATACGAAAAACGAGCGATGACGTTGTGTCAGTCGAGCATACTTTTACAAATAACAAATTTAATAATAAAAAAAAAAAATTAATAAAATCGAAAATATCTCATGGCTATAAATAGCGTGATATTCCATTAAACCTTTTCTTTTTGATAGCGGTAGCAAAACTTGTTATAAATCTTCTATTAAAATTTCTAATGTTAGCTATGAAAGAAAAAACTTTTATGAATTTCTAACTGAAATAGTATATTATGTGGTAACGGCGGGATGTGAGCTATTTCAGTCGCGGACGACGTGTGCGGCACGTATGAAGATTTGGAAAGCACTGTAGGAACATTAGATCTTGATTCATTTATATTTAATACCTATACCGAAGGTTTAATTAAAATGTATAAGATTTGTTTTGAATAGTAGGTAGCTACTTGATTACGAAATACTGAAATACATTTTTTAATTGTAATTGTATCTATAGGTACTAGGTAGGTGCAATGTAGTTTTGTGAACCATGTAAAGAACATTTTCTTTTATAAAGGTAAAAATTCAAAAATCGATAAACAATCACTATTTTTAACTTTACATTTGGACAATAATTATAGTCGTTTGGTAGATGTTGAAAGTAACTAAGGTAAAATTGTAATTTTATTTCAATTACATTTTAAAGAAAAAATAGCTACGTACATTAATTTTACATGTTTATATTATAGACGATATTAAAGTCTAATATTAAATGATAATCGTGCATTCGTGCCTACAATATATTTTTTTATATTTTTGAGCTGTGATTAACTATATAAGAAATTTATTATACAAAATCAATATCAATAAAAAAAAAACCAAGGATCTCTTTCTGTTGTATTGTTGGTAGATAACTATAGCCAGTTGAGTCTATACCTATAATAATTGTGTACAATTTTAATATAAAAAAGATTCTGAATGAAAGAGAACAGTGGTTGAGTATTTATTTTATTTCTTAGGGCAGTAAATATTATAATAATATGTTATGCATATCATTATTTATACCTAACCTAGTAGGGTCGTAGGGACAGAAGCAT